AGAGAGAGAGAGAGAGAGAGAGAGAGAGAGAGAGAGAGAGAGAGAACGAGAGAGCGAGCGTAAGGACGTGTGTATGCGTGAGTGCGTGGGAGAGTGTGAAAGGAGAAAGAGGGGGTGGGGAACGACGGGCGGGAAAATGGAGCGCTTTCGTTCTCAGTGCGTTGATGCCGCGCGGCGTTCGCTCGTCCTTGGGAAAAGCTTGTGTTTCTGTTATCCTGCTCTCCGTGTCAGTGCTCTGGTTTAACGTCGGTCGCTTCCCAAACGGATGGATATCCGCGCGATACCTTGCTATGATCTCGGACCGATTCGGTTTGGCCGCTCCGGCGACGATGATGCCGCCGTGAATCGCGCGATGGAAACACGCATGGTGTTTATGTTTGCCGGGCGCGTGAATATGCGTGCCTCTCCTCGGACCGGTGGCGCCTTCTTTCAGAGTTCGATATACCCCCGCGTCGCACACGGGGGCGGATGGGTACGGGGGTGGGAGAGAGAGTCGGATGAATGGAAAGAAGGAAGGAGGGAGGGAGGGAGAAGGAGATGCCGCCACCTTCGAATCTGCCCGTCAGCCTGAAACACATTTCGCACGGGCCCGCGAAGAGAACGCGAGATATGGAATGCCCGCGCGTCAAGGCGCCACGCCTCGCGACGGCCCACGTGGTGTATCGATTTTTTCCGACGAGATCACGCGTGGCTCTTGTCACGTGATGGTCGCCCGAAATGGAGCACCGGGACCGGTGGTCCTCGTATGCGACGTGCAGTGCTCTTTTCAATTGGATTTACACATTTTTCTCTTGCGATTAGTAGTAGCTGGAGTTTAACGTCACTTATACTCGATACTTGGGATTTTACGAAGAACGCGATGATTATATTTGACTTTCTTTGTGGTTGACAGATTAATTACATCTCTGACTAAAGCGATAGTGAGGTGTCTGGTAGATTCTATTCGTTGGATCGTTCGTGTTCGATTGAAAAAGTTTGTTAACGATTGTCTCAGACAATACGTGATAGTTTTATTCAGTTTCGGTTGTGATGGACAAATTGAACAGGCCACATCTTCGATTATGCTGACTGTGAAATAACAAATCGATTGGTATTAGTTATATCGCACTGCGATCGATACAACACTTGTCCGATGAGATGCTTAACGCTCGAAGAACATTTCGTTTAGTTTTGTTCGTCTGATAAATTGAATTAAATTACGTTACTGACCATTGCTAGCGCATAGATGCGAAATTGATCGATATTCGTTAGATCGCTCGATTCAATGTTCGTCAAACGGCGTTTGATTTTGTTTAACGACATGATTGAACCTTCGATTATACTGACAATCATGAATAGCGAGGTATTCTTCTTGGGAAATGTTATTGCGTGTTGTTGTTACTTGTGTGGCCGCTTCTCATACGAAAGAAATCATAAATTTTCCATTTTTTACAGTATTTTACACACTTCGTCGGTAATTTCGTCTTTAATGATATTGAGAAAACGTAGTAATTCTCATGTTCTCAGTAATACACAATACACAATACACGATCGACAGGGCACAGGAATGTACTTGTGAGAAATTGTAAATATATTTTCCAATTTATTAAATACTCCGACTTGACATTAATATTTCTTCGCTAATTAAAGTACGCTTCACACGATTCCTTTAACAACTTAGAGAGTATACTTTCAATTTCGTGTTTAATCAAAGATTAATTTCGAAGCAAATTGTATTCGCAAGAAAATGGCCACGACTGTGCTATCATGGTTCGTGTAGCCTTTGGTTCGTGACTCAATGTCAGTTACTTAAATACTTAATAAAAAGTATGAGCACATCTCGGCGTAATTTAAATGGAAATACGTTACTGTGGAACTTTACATGTTTAATCACGTGTTCAAATTTCTCAAGATTTGGCATACGAGTGTTTTGACGCCGTTTCTTTATGCGCAAATGTCAATGTGCAAATATAAGCACGATTTTTTTTTTCGAGCCTTCTCGACATGTCCGAAATGCTTTAGGCGAAATTCAACGGTAAAACGCCGATTGATTGCATATCTCGCTGTTTGTATCGACACACAAATGAATTAAGATAAAATCCTTTGGACAAAGTTAAGCCGTGATAACATCTCAATTGCATTTTCGTAAAAAGATTTATCGCTTTCATTGAAGAATTGAAATGTTAAGTGACGCTGACATCGATGATAAACGACATTGAGAATATGTAATTGCCACGCTAAGATTATCTGCATGGATACCAGTTTTAGCTCTCTCGCGGTGATCGCGAGCTAGGAAATGGTAGCCCACTTTGATTCTTCCAATTCGGAAGCTCTAGATGGATAAGCGGATAGAAATGCAGAGAGAGAGAGAGCGAGAGAGAGAGAGAGAGATAGAGACAGAGACAGAGAGAGGGAGGGCGGGAGAAGCGGCGGCAGGAGGGGCGAGCGCGCGTGGGAGGAAGACGGCTATATCGTGGCTCGGAAAATCGATGTTCAAATGCGCCACCACGTGATTACGTCCACCAAGCGGGAGCGTTATCTCACCGTGTAATAATGCGAGGCGCGATTATTTGCGACGACGATGATGAAGAGCGAGCGGCGGTGGGGGGGGGGAGGGGGGAACCCGCTCCTCATCCGCGCGGTGAAAGGGGAGGGGACGGGATCATGAATGAAAAGGATGGGAGGTCGTTTCCTTATCGACGCACGCTGACGGATACTTAAGCCGGCTAATTAATGACGCGTACGTGGATCGATTATGGTCACTGCCTGTCGTACGGGAAGCGTAATTCGCTTCCTCGGGGATTACGCCAGCCGGTCTTCCGGATCGGCGCGTTTATTCCGCGGCTCGCGCTCGCGGCCTCTCTAAGAAGCTTAGGTGTCGCCGTTTCTTCTTTTTTAATCGTTCGACGACCTCGATAGCGACGAGTCTTCTAGGGCCCCCTTTGCGACACCGGAATTCCCCGTGAAGCAATTCGTTAGCGAACGCGTGTCGCGCTCTCATATAGAGCCGACAATCGCGCGGATCGTTCATCGATCTGTAAAACAGATAACAGATTTTCCGCTTTCCGGAACAGTGATCGATAAGCGCGGCACGTGCTCGAGCTACTAGCGACTGTTTCTCGGCGCGAAAGTTCCGGACGAACGTAATTAATATTATCGTCAGAGTTTCCTGGATTTTTGCATTCCGTTTAATTCAGGACTCGAGTTGTAAAACTTTCCACGGGGATCTGCAGACTTTAAAGAATTTCTGATATCAATTCGGTTCCTTCACCGTAATAATCCCTCAAGTATCGACGATTATTAAGTGAGTTAGAGCAGGCTGAATTATTCATCTAGAGCGTCGCACATTGCTTACATCTAGCTGCACGTGTTATGTACCTTCGTTATCTTTCCCGTTAATCCGTATCGATTGCGAAAGAGATAAGATACAAGGTTTCTGCCGGCGGCGCAAATTCGATGGAATCTCCTGATGCGCGGGAAAAGAAGGATCGATCGGCCGGATCGATCGTGTGTATTGTGACTCGACGTGTGGAAACAGCGTGCCAAGTGGAAAGGGATGTGAAACGAGGGTGCCCGGTCCGAGAAGAAGTCGCGTAACTCCGTGCTCCGCGCGCGATCGGACGTTCCAATCTTCGGCTCGCGTCGCGACGAAACGTGTTTCGCGAAAGGAAAGGAAAAGGAGAAAAGAGGAAAACCGGGTGTTGTTCGATTGTTGATGTGTGGTGACACCTGCCGCCAAGGACGGGAGACTGCGCAGGGGGTTGCAAAATAGTACCGGAAGTTACCCTCTGCCGGCAGTCTCCCCCTCCCCGCGTCCGCTTCCTCTTCCGCCGACGAGCCGCGAGCCTGGACAGCGAGCCTGATGGAATCGTCTTTCTTTTCTAGGAAAATGTTCATCGGCGGCCTATCTTGGCAGACCAGTCCAGGTATGTGGCATCACGTAAAACACACGTAGCAGCGTAATCGAACCGCATTTGACAATCGCTCGCGATGCCCGGGAAGTCCCGTTCGCGAGAAACGTCAGTCCGACCATTGCGAGCATCGTTCCCTTCCGTGCGCGTCTTCACGGTTATTATTTACCGATTTATATGTCGGCGTGCATCTCTCTCACGAGTTGCCGAGCATCGTCGAGGGGTATCATTATCAACGAGTTGAACAACGGCTTTTTTTACTGGGCGGAATGTCATCATTAACGGGAATCTCGCTAACGGACGCTTCGACGACTGTTTCCCTTTAACCAAGTTTGATGCCATTATGCGCCGCGCGTCTCACTTCCACTGTTAAGTATTAATCGGCGGTCGAGCCGATAAAATTAAATTCTTATTGTGGCAAAAGGCGCGCCTTATTAAAATACGTATCTCAACAATACCTTTTTATACGAGGAAAATTTTATTGTGAAGTACATTATCTTGGGAAAAAGTTCTTCCGAACTTTGTTGTAATGCTGAAAGAGATCGGCGCCATTTGTAAAGACACATTCTGAAACATCGCAACCGACCGTTGTGGTGAACTTCGACAGTAATTAGAAAATTGTCGCGATTGACTATTTTGCAGCTCGCTCCTTTGTTCCATCGTGGAAAATATTGCTGAAAAATATCACTTGCAAAGCGAGTCGGGGAATATTCTAAAATTCTGGAAAATATAAAACTTTTGTATTTTTTACTATTTTTTTACAACTTGACATGTTGCCCTTGTTTTATGACAGAGAACGTTACTATACGTCATCTCTGAGAAGTACCTTTTTACGTAAGAAGAGACATATCATATGTGAAAGTGGTAGAACTTAATTTTGCACGTTACAAGCTGCCGCGTCGATATTTTTATAAATTTATACAACACCCTGTATAAAGTTGAAAAGATTACACCCATAACTGCGATATAAAAATCTTTGTATCCACGGCTCTATATTTTTCCGCGGAAAACATCTGTGCAAAGCATTTAAAAGAAATCTCTCTTTGATACTAGGGAAACGCAGATATGAATGACGAGAAAGCTCGAATAATAGAACTCGGTTCTACCTTGCACAAGGTATAAGGTATACAAGAAGCGGATGGAAATTGATCGGTCAATTTTTGTGTCTGTAACATCATTAAGATTTTCGCAGATTTACCAGATCCGTTTTACGGACGAATAACGATACGATTTGTTAACACACTTTGATGTTGCGAGCAATAAAATGCAGATAGCTCCGTGTTATCTAGGTTTTTGTTATTGTCCGAAGCGAATGGGTGAAACATACCGCTGGATTTTGTTGAGGAGGTGACACGAAAAAGACGAGGGAAATCCAAGTCCCAGGGGTCTCAATCTTCTTCTCCCGTTCACCAACACACGATAAATACCGGTAATAATACTGCATAGAGGAAGCTTATTGCGAAATGAACGAACGGAGACGCTCGGAAACATGTGGTCTCACTTTACAAAACATTTATGGTGATCGTGCGTTCGCGGCTTTTTCGCGATATCTAATCAGATCGGTTTGATGATGTTCGCGCACGTGTGCTAATCTTACTTGCTCTCGTCGCCTACATTCGCGCGTTGTGTTTATCGAAGATTCTGCCAGAGATCTCGGCAAAGGTTACATTTTACCACGTTGATATATTTATACATATATGGCGCAGAACGTTTTTGGGTTAAGATCTTCATCCGAAGATAATTGCTTGGCAACGAATATATTCGTAACCCACAGTTTGTATAACAAAGATATTCGCAAGAATAATGTTATACATATAAAGTACAGTTATTATTATAAATGAATAATACTATATTATTGCATTTTTAACCTTTCACGTTTGAGACACACAGCTATCACGTTATAGAATTGGAAATGTATATAATAAGCAATCTCTCATTTTCTCCCTCTTTCTCTCTTTCCCTGAGAAATACGACAACGTGTCGCTCGCTTTCCTACTGTTCTTCAGCAATGGGTTCGTTCCAAGGAGAGCTTCTTGCTGAAAGAATACGAGTAGCGAACTCATTAGCGTTATTTGCCGTTGTTGCGTAAGTCGTGCCGCCGTCTCTCTCGTTTCTCGCCATCCTGCTTGTTCCGTGCTTCGCCTTCCGCGCTACAATTCGCTCTTTCTCTGCAAGCCATTTACAGGATGTAGACGAATAACTTTTATAAACTTTGCGGGCGCGCAGGACGTTGGTACACGTAACTTTTCAAGCGAAACGTGGGGTCCGCGAAACCCCACGCTGAGCGTTGTAAGGCGATAAAAGCTGCCGGTCTAACATGAATCAGCAGATCAACTTTCGTTTAATTTACACTCCCGCCGTCATGTTTTGAAAAGGTTGTGTACTAAATTACATGAAAATGAGGTCAGTAACCAAAGCTCTCTCTCTCTCTCTCTCTCTCCTTCTCGCTCGCATCAGATTTATGTCTTATAGCGCAAAGTGGAGCTCATAGAGAATCCGTGTTTCGTTTTCAAAGTTACTTGCATTGAATAAGTTGCTTGCGTATTATATACATTCGCGAAGTTTGTAAATTATCCGTTTACATTCTACATAATTGGAAGACGCGCGTTTCACGGTTGAGGTTTCTGTCTCCTCTCTTATTTCTCTCTGTTTTGTATTAAATATATCTTGCGTAGTTTCTCGAATGAGGTCAATCGAGCTGGGCGCATTAGTTGCCTTTGTTACTTCATCGGATTGTGCCTTGTGTGCCACGTCGAGGTTTATATTAGACAATACATTTTGTATAAAAAAAGATTTAGTTCGGTTAAACAAATGAGATACGTTGAAATCGCGGTTCTTTGAATCTACTAAATATTTATTTACTTCTATTAAAATATTTGCTAGATTTGAAGAGAAATGAATGTAGATTGTCTTAGAACTTCCAGTCTCGATGAAATAAAATTTTGGTTAAGGTAAAGGAGTCGTTTCTTTGAAATTCTGACTTTAAAGTCTGATTCCAAATCAACTTTTTCTGGGAATAGTCCGTAACTCTTTTAATTATTGTGCTTTGCCCACCACGTTGCGATAATTTCTTGTTTCCGTGCGATAAGATAATTAATTGGGTTTTTTTACAATTCTCCATTGTATAATAAAATTTTCTACAATTATTGTATACACGCATAAAAGATCGTTGTGAATTCCACGACGTTTATGTAAACATTTTCAAGCTTTCCTGAATTAGCGGCATTGTTATAAACTTACAAAAGGGGCGAATATCTTTCGGAGATATTGAACAATTATTGCGATTTCGCGTGAGTGAAACTTTGATAAATCACGCGCGATCTCGCTTGATACATACATGAGAAATATGATACATAATAAGCGAAAGTGTGTATGTAAAATTTGCGCGCTATTCTTTTTGCCTTGAACCGGCAATGTGATATCCGGTTCAGAAAAACCAATAGCGGCTGGAATAATATTTTTCTTGGTGTGTTTGAATGATACCATGGCTCGACTGCGTACCGCTGGTACCGCCCGATGCAAATTGTCGCTTACATTATTTGCAACGTGGAACATAAATTGAATATCTTTGTAACATTTATCCATAATGACGATTATACAAGTAGCTCGGGAGGAACGTTTCCTATTTGTGTAATTTTCTATTCCCTTCTGCTTCATCTTAGCTCGTGGAAAACACTTTTTCACGTTCTATCCTTGTACTTTTTGTTTGGTAAAATATTTTATACATTTTTAGGATTGAGTTTATTTTGTCCATTACGCAGTAGATCAATTCACGAATGAACGATTCTAAATAACGGCGATATTACCACAACCACCTTTGTAAAATGCAATTCCTATTAACGCAATGTTGTTCCTCAACGTGATTGATTTCACCTCAAATTAGCAGAGATATTCACTCGTGGGTAAATGCGGAGCTAATGCTGCGTTTAATTAATTATATAACATTAACGCGTGATTTCCGGAATAATTTGATGACTGACGCACGACGTACGTACGTCACGTTGTCTACCTTATTATACCAGGAGCGTTAAAATAAAAAATCAAGCCTGGCGTAAATCTCGGCCAAGAGCGTTTTGAAATTTGCGGCCACGTATAAGCGTGTTTTCTAACGAGCGCCACATCTTCGGCGGTCTAAACATTAGACTTAACGTTTTGGGACTGGTCCAGAGGTTGTGGAAACAATGTACGTACTACTCAGGGTTTACAAGCACGCGTCAGTTTACGCCTGATTTTCGTCACTCTCGCCGAGAATTAATGCACGGGGTTCACAACAACCGCGCCGTAGCTAAGGAATTGCGGCTTGGGCACAAACGCGTTCTCGATACATTAGAGCAGCTCGCGATGTTATCTCGTTAATTTTCTCGGAAGCTAACTACTTAATTAAAAGAACACACGTAATATTCAGGAGGTGTGATACATATTTGCTTCCGTTTTATATATTATATGTGTGTGTACATATGTAAACATTACACACACACACATATATAAATATTTATATATTTATATGCATGTGTGTTTTAATAAAATTAAGTTGATGTGATTTTTGTCAAATGTAAGAAACATCAAATGACAGGTTTTTATCTTATTGCGAGTCACGTTTGGCATAATGATCTTTTCTTCCTAATAAATTTTCATTGAACAATGTTTCGAGCGGAAAATAACGAATAAAATGGAATATAACAAATGCGAGATTAGAGGTTAGTATCGATTCTTTTGCCTTTTTTTGCGATTCACGATAATGGTATGCCAAACATGAGCGAGCACACTATCGACTCTCGTAGCAAATCGATCGCAAAGTGCGGACGAGCGAAACCTCTGACGTTTCTCTGTCGTCGTTGTCGTCGTCGTCTTTGTCGTCGTCGTCATCCTCGTTGTCGTTGTCGTCTTCGTTCTCCTCCTCGTCGTCGTCGTCGTTGTGGTTGTTTCCTCCGCTACCGTCCGTTTCGTCGTCGTCGTCGTCGTGGTGTCTGATGCAATCGAGCGCAACAGACTCTACTCTCGACTCTCTCGCTATT